GAAAGGCATGCCATGGTCAAAAAGTTTGACCATAAGAGAAAGGCAAATTTTGAGGTAGTTCCGTGTGCTATTCCAAAAGAGTCAATTTTCTTTTATTGCCAAGAGAAGGGGCATTGGAGACGAAGTTGCCCTGTCTACCTGAGAGATCTAAGAGATGAGAGAGTCAAGACGTATGACTCTACTTCAGGTAAAATCCATTAACTAACTCTGTAAGTTCCTATTTTTTTTATTCTTAATACATTATGTGATAAGATTACATTTTTTGATGTTTTGTAGAATCGAAGAAAAGAGAGGAAGCTTAAAGGAAGAAGTGAGCTGAGTCTGATCGTGAAGAAATGGATTTCGATCGCATGATTCGATGGTCGGATTTTTGGAGCTGCTACTTTTAGAGTTATGATAGATTTCTTAGGAATATGTAATAGCGTAGTTTCTTGTTTGAATTGCATTGTAAGGACAAGTTTTTCCGCACCTTTTATAAATAAAATTAAATTTTTGTTTTTGTCTTATTTATTTATTTCCTTGCAATGGCATGTATGAAAAATTGACATTTTTGTATTTCTAGTTTTAGCAATGTTGAAATGGATGTGATTCTTAGTTATGTTATTTGTGGAAATGTCGAGAATTTACCAAATAAGGAAAGATTCTTGTCGCCCGAGTTTCAATTGGACAGAAACTTGGAATCATACAAATTGTATTGTATGATGAATGAGAACCTTCATATTTGGAAAATTAAGACTAATTCCTAGACAAAGAGTCAAGTGAAGGACTAGGAGAACTGGTATACAATGTTGTGCACTAGTCTAGTCCACCACAAAGAACAATAAGCTTATTCATCATGATTTACTAAAAGTCTAGTAAATGTGGTTATGCTTACAAGATTAAGTGTAATTCTGAATCATTGAAAAGTTTCAATGTATGGCAGAACGAATAAGAAGAATCAATTAGGCAGAAAGATAAAGTTTCTCCAATCTAAGAAGAAGGGAGAGTACCTTTGTATCGTGTTTTATGATCGCCTTGGTAATCATAGGAACCACATTACAATTCATCCTCTAAGGACACCTTAGTGCATTAGTTTGGCTAAGAAGAGGAATCGAGAACTGTTGTAGTGATTAAGTTAGTAAGATGTATCGTACTTCGTTCCAAAATCAAGTCTTAGAGTTATACTCCAAGATTGTGACTTGAGTGACATAATGTTAAGTAGGAATGTTCTTACACTTGCACATTTTGGTAAGTTAAGATGTCTTGAATAAGCCAAAGGCCAACTAGTACCAAATTGCGTGTAGGTTTTGTTTTGATATAGACACACACTAACTCTTGAATATTTGTTTTGTCAAGAAATGTTTCTTGATAAAAGAATCTAATATGTCAATAGGTCAGTGGGAGTCTGAAGATCTTGAAAAGTTTCAAGAACTAATAGAGAGTAAACCTATTAAACACTAGCACACGACTTGAGGATTGTAACCTATCGTGTTGACATATTCTTGTTTCTGTGCCATTCCAGTTTGGTCAACTATGCATATGATTTCTACGAGTTCTCAATAGACTGCATAAGGCAAGCACCTTGTTCAATGAAAGTACATTGACTGGCATAGGTGAGCTGCTAAATAACCTGGAAGCAGTGGTGGGACCCTTGATGGCAAGAAATCAAGTATGAACAAGTTCTGTCCATAAGAGTTTGGATTTGTCACAAACATTATCTTATGATTATGGTTATGACAAATTCGAATGGATAAGAACACATACACCATAAAATCTAAGTGTCATAAGGTTTCTCTCCTTCATGAATATGATTGTGAAGAAACGCTTTCACTAAGAGAGATTTTAAGGAGATAGCGATTATGTAAATTGCATTCTTGAATTCGATTATGATTACGGCATCCCTCTTTTAGTTTGAATTGTGAGATTTGGCGATTAGTCTGAACATTTGGGACTTAGTAATATAAGTTCTTAATTAGTTTAAACATACATGTGAGCTATCTAAGGAAAGGTGTATGAGTTTGAGAAGCTTAGATAAAGGCTTATCGAAGCATATCGTATTAGAAAAGATGAACTTTGGAAGTCAATAAGTATTGTTTTCTAGAAGTTTAACTGATTTCTTAATGCGTGTGAAAGCTAGTGGGAGCATAAATGTTATGCTGGAATGGATATAATCATCACGATAGTGGGATCATGATTATTATTTTAAGTGTTGCAGGTTGGCAATATTAATCATAGAAAACAAATGTTTCACTTTGCTAAGTTGCAGGGGTTGAAAAGTTGTTTTGCTATAATTAAGGGAGAGAATGTTATACTTCGTTCAAATCTAAAAGCTTAGATCGAGAAATTTTAATCAAATTTAGTCAAGGATATATTAACTGCATTCTTAAAATTCGATTATGATTACGGCATCCCTCTTCATAGTTCGAATTGTGAAAACGTGGAAAATAGAAATATTATGGCAAATGGCTGATAAAGTATCATGCTTTTATGTAAGACATTATGAATCGTGTCCCATATGCTTCTCGTATAGGATTGATTGCAAATGCTGTAATATTTGACCGTTCTAAAATTTTCCAAATGTCTAGGGCATTAAGAGGGAAAAAGGGACTAGAACCGAATTTGACTAAAAATAATTAAACAACTGTCAAGGACAATCTAAGGTTCGCCAAGGATTAGTCGTTTGCGGACAATTGGAAGTATAGTCATAGATAGACCATATTGGCATTATTATGAATAGATAAGATTCTATTTATCATGAGTTGTCATATGGCAAATATGGAAATGTTTCCTTATTGGGAGTTGGACGTTAAGAATCTATGTCTAGATTAGAAACTTCTATGCAAGAAGGATGTTCAAAGGAATGTACTTTGAATGTGAGACTTCATGACTATTGAATTATCTTGTAACAATATCCAATAGAGCACTTTGTAATTTCATTGGCAAAGTCTTGGTGACTTTGGCGCTGTGATATTACGAAAGGACCGTTGCATAAGATGTTAGAATCTAACATATTCTAGTAGTGGCGAGAATTTGTATTCTTACACTAATTGATTAGGATTAGGAACTGTGAAATGAGCATCATTGGAAATGCGTTCATTTGATCTATTTTACGAAGTTAGGACCATAGGAAAACATAGTGTCCATGCTAAGAGCATGGGACAACTGTTGTTGTGATTCAAGTAAGAAGTTGATTAACCGAAACAACAAATAATGAGTAATCAATATGGTGATTAAATAAAAGGTGTTTTATTTATACTCAAAAGTTTGGGGCCATATGGGATTAGTATTATTCTTGTGTTTCACTTTTCATGTTTTGACCTCCCGAATAATAAGATTATTCAAACCCTCCACAGTGGCTTATACTTTGGAAGTAAGTATGAAAGAAGACTGTCATGAATCCATCTGTAGATTGACTAAAGCGTTTAGACATAACACAAGTTTGCTGCAGAGTTCATGAGTGCTGCTATAAGATTAGAGTATTGGAGTAAACCCACGCTCACTTGGATCACTTCATGGATTTTATCACGAGTGATTGGTGAGATGATATTATCTTATATTCTTGAAACCGAGACGTGTGAGTTGTATTCTGCAAGTAGGTTGCACATTGATAGTATGTAAACGCACCAGTAACTTGGTGTTATAGAACATATTGTTGTGTGTGATTTGATGAGTAGATACAAGCGGGCATTGAGTTGAATTTTATCCGTTCCTTAACCCAAAGTGGGATAAAAGCGATATATGTGGGCCCCTCGATGATTTAGCGATGACAACCTAAGCGCTTGGCCAAGTCGGGACTAAGTTGATGTGTTCAACTGTAGTCTGTTGTCAGTCATCATAAATCGGAAATCGGGAAACAACACGTGAACAGAGAGTATGATTAAAATCCATGTCTCAGTTCATAGGATATCTAGAATGGAGGAATATATGATCCCTTATCTAAAGGACAGGTTACTGATAAGATCAGAGTTCGACAACGTCTTTGAGAGCTACGATTGCTAATCGGATTGTACTTGCATTTATAGTTACTAGACTTATCCAAGTGGGAGATTGTTGGATTAGTGTCTAAGCTCGTAACCATATTTGGTAAGTACTTGACCCGGTTGTGCATGGTCCTTTTGGGTTGCATTCGCCAAAGCAACTTGATTGGAGAAATAATAGAGAAAGATGTTATTATGGTTTATTAATATATTACATGAATAATATATTAAAAGAGAAATTATATTTATTTAGTTAACATTGGTCGAGAATTAATTAAGAATTAATTTTGTGATCAAAAGAAGTTAATTTAACTAGGGGGACTTAACTATAATTATGTGATAGTTGTAAAGTAGGGCAAAGGATTCCCTATATGATAGGGTGGACGAAGTCAAGGGGATAAGGCCTCAGAATTCTTCCATGATAAGGTTTCTACGGTTATCCTTTGGGCTGCTTGGTGGCTAAGCAACCAGATAAGGATAAGGACTGAAAACCTAATTCCTACACCTATATAAAGACCCCTTGGCATAAGAAATTCGGCCACTTGATACCTAGGGTTCCTAGAGCCGAATTTCATACCTCCCCCCTCTCTCTCTCTTGCCTCTCCATTTGCTCTTGGTGTTTGTAAGCCATTAGAGGTACTACACTTGTGGTACTTGCTTTCAAAGACAAGAAGATTCAAGATACAAGTTGTTATTACCACATAACAACAAGAGGTATGTATTCCATTCTCCTTTACGATTTTCGAAATTACCTAGGAGCATGTTAGGTTTCTTTTGTGTTCATAATGTTTTACAACTAATAGTGAAAACATAGATCTGTATCTAGGGTTGCATGCACACATAAGATTGTTTGTATAAAACCCATCAGGTTTTGGGTAATTTGCTCGTCGGGTCCCTAAAAACATTTTTTTAACTCGGACCATCCCTGTATTTTATTTTTGTTTCAGATTTAGTCCCTAATTGAAGTTAAATCGACTAATTTACCCTTATTTATTTCGTTTATCCTTTTTATATTCTTGGTTGATTAAAAAATATTGATTAGATATGTTAAGAACAATTTGGATCCCATTAACTGAAACACCTGGACCACCCACCCATCGTCATCATCTCCCCCTAGTTGTGTTAGTAATCGGAAAACTACCTCAAGCCAGCACCTCCACCACTAACCTCTGGCGACCACCACGACAACCTTTTCACAAGAAAAACACGTGTATGTGTTCAGATTCAGAAAATACGCTTAACAGAAATGCATTCAACTCATAAATCTGTTCAAGAGATCAAATCCATTCGAGAAATCAAATACTTATGTAAGAAAACACAAACACACACAGGCACAAAACCAAAAATACGTCCTATATCTTCGTCGAAATATATATAAAAGAGACCCTCATATGTAGAAAAAAAACATCTGATGCAACAACTTCGATTTCTTTTGATTTGAAGCCTAATCGAGTGGACCTTGACTCGATTCTGTATAACAAGAGCATGAACATTATTGATTCTTTAGGATTTTAGCTACTTTGAACCTTAATCAACCATAAGTGGGGGTTAGGTCGGTGTCGGTTTCCATAACTCGTTGATTTCACAAGGTGGCAGATGTTGAGGCGGGGGGTTTGGTTGGAAACAACAAAGGCGGCGACAAGATCTAGGGTTGTTGTGGTTGTCGGAAGCCAGATGCTAGATGTCGGACGTGAAATAGAGGTGGTTTCTGACATGAATAGGCGGCGGTCAAGATAAGATGGGAACGGTAGTGATGATGATGCAGTAGAAAGGTGATGGATTATAGGGAGGAGGGTCAGTCACATATAGATATAAAGATACGAGAATAGAAGAGGCAAAGTTAATGCAAGGGTTCTAGGTGTGGGGTGTAGTTGGGGTGGGTTTATTTAACTATTTAATTTATATAATAATTAAAATTAAGTTATAAAAAACATAAATATATTATTAACGGTAAATTCGTCATTTTATCTCGATCGGGACTAAATTCTAAACAAAAATAAGATGAAGGGACGATCCGAGCTTAAAAAAAGTCTTCAGGGACCCAATGTGCAGATTACCCAAAACCACAGGGAACATTCATGTAATTTACCTTTGTTTTTAAAAATCCAACCAAAATTAAAACAAAATATGACCATTTATAATTTTAGTTTTTATTTTAATATTTATTTGTAGAGCACTGTACTTGTAAATTTGGGAAAACGACACTGTAGCACAACAAACTATTGCATTTTGTCCAATTTTGTCGCTAAGATATTTTTTTGCGCAATTATTCATTGAACTACAAATTTTCCTATCAATTTAGCCATTCTTGTTAGTTTTTAGCGAATCCCGGTTAACAAACCTAATGTCGAATTAATAATTAATTGGTCTTAAGAGCATCCATAATTGAATAGAAGTTTAATGAAGTGTGAGTGATGACATGGAGGAGAGTTGGTTGGGAGAGTTGTATGATCATTGAGTGGTTCAATGAATTTAATCTTTTCTTTTTCAATTAAATTTCAAACCAAATATAGAAATCCATTAAACTCTGTAGGGTTTAATGGAGTGTGGATGTTAAAGAGTATAATTAAATAAAAAGTAAAATATTGATGTGGCAATGATATGACAATCAATTGCTAAAAGATCAATAGATTGCGGATGCGCTAAGTATTTGATAGACACCATATCTATACCACATAGATAATAGATAAGAGAAACCCGTCCATGCTCTTTGCCCTTTACATCCTTTATTTCTCTCGCCGGCAAACCTTCACCACCAGACCCATTTTCAGATAGCACCAATTTTTTAAATGAGTTAAGTTATTGATGTTGGCCGGTAAACCACCGGAAAATCCGTTTTCGATGACCACTAAAGACTGAAACCCTTCGTTTATCTGATGTCGATTTTAGGGCTACCTTTATCACTACGATGTCGACATCTCCCTAAAACCATCGAAGGATATTGCTTGATTGAATAAAAAGATACTCGCAAAACAGAACCTCACCTCAGACCTCCAGCGTGTCACCTTCATTTTCTGGCGTCGTCTACACCCTCCTTCACATCTGAACAGTAAGAAACGTCCTCTATTTTATCTTCGTTTTCTTTAGGCTTCTCATCATTTTCATCTCCGACTCTGTCGAAGATCTCACACTTACCATTGTCAATTTCACAGCCGGGTTGATTTTTGAATTTTGGGAGTTTGTAAATTTTGTGCAGTTTGATCCGTATTTGGATGTAAATTTATGTAATATTATTTTATGTATATGTTTGTTTTTGTCTAGGATTCATGTTTGTTTTTCCTTATATGTTGTTAATCCTTGGATATGTGTGATTTTTTTGTTTTGAATCCACCAAAAACAATGCATGTATAAGCACTTGTTGTTTCTCTTAGAAATCAGTGAACTATATATGCGTATGCCACATGTTCGATGAAAGTAATCAATGAAGGCAGCAGGGTTTCGGCTCGATGAAAGTCCTCAGATATGTATGTATAAGCACTTCTGGATTTATCTCTTTTTTTAGGTTCTATTGGAGTTAGGGAATTATTTTCTGGATGTGATTATGTGAGCCGAGGGGTAAATATGAGCATTGTTATTTTTCTCAAATTCTCTAATTACCATTATAAATATTTGGGGTATTTCTCAAATTACCCGGTTACCAACATTAATTTTAGAAAAAAAAAAATAGTTACGGTGGAAGAAGAGAAGGAGATGATCGGAAGAAAGGAAGAAGGTGGTGGTGGTGGCTGACGGTGTTGGTGGTGGTGGATGTTGATGGTGGTGGTGGTGGTGTTGGTGCTAACAGTGGTGGTGGATGCTGGTGGTGGATGTGGATGTGGATGTTGGTGGTGTGTATATAATTATTTGAATGTAGACTGCCATGTGGACGTAAGTTGAAGACAAATATGATATGGAGTTAAAGTAGAAAAGAAAATAAAATCCACATGGGCAAGAGTTAACGGGCAACTCATTAAAACAAACAAGAATTACTTAATTGACACATAGATTGGTAGTTGAATGACTAATTGCGTGAAAAAATCAACTCATTAAAACAAACAAGAATTACTTAATTGACACATAGATTGGTAGTTGAATGACTAATTGCGTGAAAAAATACTTTAGCGATCAAATGAGAAAAATGCAGTAGTTGGTTTTGCTACATTGTCATTTTCCCTGCAAATTTTATGTAATTTTTTAGTTTTATTAAAGTAGTTTTTATTTTGTCAATTAATGAAGAATTTATTTTGTTTTAGGAATCTTCATGTTTTTTTTTAATTGTTATACTAAATAAAAAATAAACAGATATACATATGATGTTGAGAATTTTGTAACAGAAGTTTATATGGTATGGGTATTTCATGTTTTTTTTAATTGTTATACTAAATAAAAAATAAAAAGATATACATATGATATTGAGAATTTTGTAACAGAAGTTTATATGGTATGGGTATGTGGTGTGGCACATCTTTTTAGGAAACCAAATGGTGGACCATTTTGGTGGGCCTTATTTTAGATTAGAAAGTTGTGGTAATAGTCCCAAAAAAATCTGACTTCATCTTATCACTTTTACTGTTTTTAGGCCATTCATATATGATAGACATTTTCCCAACTTGATGGTGATCTTTAGTTTGTATAATTAAATTATTATAAGTGTAATTCGGCTCTGCTTTCCAAATAAACTCAGCCAGACATCGTATTTAGGAAGTAGATAAACCCACGCAAACTCCAATGTGACAAAACGTGACAACCTCGAGAAGATATAATTGTACTCTATTTCTTTAAATACTCTACATATCTTCCGCTGAATCACAAAATAGTTCCATCACGACAGACTTAACACCATTAATCTTCTCATGGATCTCAACTCCTTGCAACATAATTATACTTTCTTACTTGGGCTTGGAGCGGTAGGACTTGTGGTCCTTCATTTCTTCTTGTTCTTCACTAAAACTGGTAAAAACAAAGCTGCACCTGAAGCAAGTGCTGCATGGCCAATATTTGGCCATTTGAAACTCTTTGGAGGATCATTCGGTCCTACCCACATAGCATTGGGATCCATGGCTGTAAAACACGGACCAATCTTTACGGTTCGTCTAGGAGTCCGTAAAGTATTGGTAGTGAATAGTTGGGAGATTGCTAAAGAACTTTTCACTACCCATGATCTAACTATCTCCTCTCGCCCCAAGTTTACAGCTGCTGAGATTTTGGGATATAACTATGCCATGTTTGGATTCACTCCTTATGGTCCATACTGGCGAGAAATACGTAAGATTGCTTCTCTTCAGCTGTTATCAAGTCGTCGCCTTGAGCAGTTAAAGGATGTTCGTGTATCTGAACTGGATAACTCTATCAGAAACATACATGAGCTTTTGAAGGAGAAGAGAGATGCTAAGGGGAAAGTGTTGGTTGATATGAAGAAATGGTTTTGGGATTTTGATTTGAATGTGATGCTAAGAATGGTAGTTGGTAAACGGTGTACGGGGGCTAAAAACAATGAAGAGCAGGATGACATGAATAGGTATTGTGAAGTGTTTGGGGAATTATTTCATTTATTGGGGCTCTTTGTGGTGGCAGATGCACTTCCTTTCCTTGGGTGGTTGGATTTGGGTGGTCATGTAAAGGCCATGAAAAGAGTTGCAAAAGAAATTGATTGCATAATTGGGAAGTGGTTGGACGATCATAGGAGAAAGAGGAGTTCTGCCGAAGCTATTGAGGAAAAGGATTACATGGATGTGATGATCTCTGCTGTTGAAACCGGAGGCTTGACAAATTATGATGCTGATGCGATTATTAAGTCTACATGCTTGGTATGATCTGATACATATCCATGCTAATTACATAAATATATAGAATTAGTTTATTTATCTTTGTTATGTGCCTTGATTGCTTCAAAGGTATTGTATTTATCTACATTTTCGTTCTTCCTTCTTAATACCTTCAATTCTACAAAGATTATGACATCTCATACTTTTTACATGGTTTGTTGAAGACACAATTTTTTTCAAACTAAAATCACGTATGATGCAGTTATCATCACTTATGATCTTATGAAAATCCCTTGATTTGTTATTATTAATTAACAGACGTTAAAATTTTGAATAATAGCCTTTTTCTTAAAAGCAAATGCTTTTAGCATGTAAGGGAGTCTGAGTAGGATGCACCTTGAATACAAATGAATTTTACTCTCTATTAGAACAGAAACATGAAATGATTGTGAAAGCAGAAACACAATTCAGAGAAAATATTGATGTATGGTTCCTAAATACATTAAATTTTGTAGGATATCATTGCTAGTAGTGCGGATACCATCACAGCCACCCTAACATGGACACTTTCACTGCTATTAAATAATCCCTTCGCTCTGCAAAACGTTCAAGAGGAAATAGACAAGCATGTTGGAAAGGGTAGACGTGTAAATGATTCAGATATTAGCAAACTAGTCTACCTCCAAGCTATTGTAAAGGAGTCACTGAGGTTATTCCCAGCAGCACCACTTGGAGCTGCAAGAGAATTTTCCGAAGATTGCACTGTAGCTGGGTACCATGTCCCAAAAGGCACATGGTTGATTGTCAACATATGGAAGCTCCAACATGACCCAGAAATCTGGTCAGATCCATCAGAATTTAGGCCTGAGAGGTTCCTTTCTGGGACTCATGCACATGTAGATGTTAGGGGGACAAACTTTGAGTTAATTCCATTTGGTGCTGGAAGAAGGTCGTGTCCCGGGTTAGCTTTTTCACTTCAGATGTTGCACATTGTGTTGGCTACTTTACTGCAAAATTTTGACATGTCATCGCCTAACGATTCAATTATAGATATGACTGAAAGTGTCGGATTAATAAATGCCAAGGCTTCTCCCCTTAAAGTTCAAATCGTGCCTCGTTTGCCATCTAATAATTGGTGAATGAAGTATATATGAATGCCACTCCTCATTGTATTTATACTTCCTCAATGTATGAAGTTTTAATGGACCGAGTTTTATATATTAGGGATATACTTGCCTTTTCTATATTAGGGATAATTGTGAATGGCTGCTACAAGTATTTTTATGGAAGAGGGACTGAATCCTTCACTTTTGATGGACGGAGTCCAAGAGTTTAAACATAATATCAAACATGCTAAATTGAAGTTCTTGGATCTGGTCACCTTCTGGATCTGGTTAGTAGCTAAATCACACGACCCCTTAGTTTAGAAATGAAGGACGTCAGTTGGATACTAGTCATCATAGCGGATGTGTTGAAATGGAACCACTTTAATGGCCACCTTAATGAATTTATACACTTATTATTCCCATGTTAACCAAGATTAGCATATTTCTTAACTACAATAATTAGTTATATATATTAATTCTTATAACTCTTAGGAATAGGAAAAATTTGGGATTCAGATTTTTGCCACAGTTGTTTAGCTATTTTAACACTTTTAGTCCCTAAACCTATTTTTTTTTGACAATTTTGGACCTTAAGTTTGACTGGGTAGTCAATACCCTACACACGTGTTATTGTAACATGTCAATTTTATGTTCGCTGCCTCATACTTGGTACGCGTATTAAGCTGATCATCACTCCATTTCCACCTCCCACTACTTCCGATCAAGATGCAACAACTTCTTCTATTGCTTTGAAGATGTTTCTATTTTTTGCCCTTTTTGGAACACCGACTCGGATACTTCTCAAAGCTTTTGATAAGCACCCCACCAGCTTTGCATACCAGAACATCGCATAATCATCTGTTTATCCGCCTGTGTTTTGTTGCAACAGGTGTGTTTTTCATTCTCTATACCTCACTCCATATCTCGATTTGTAATGATTTCTAGCCCTAATTTGAATTCCTAGATTTTGCAGACGCCCGCACGCTCTCCGCCGGTCATCCTTCTACCTAGGTGTTGTTTCTTTCACCGGTCCTTCCGATTGGTCTTCTTCGTCATCACCATCTACTGAAAGACTCATTGATTTCGGCAATTATGGCTTCGGGTTCAGTTCCGTCTGATGTTTGTTCTCCATAAACCCCCCTCCACCACCATTATGTCTGCAACCACACGACGATCACTCACCGCCATCTTGCAATCTCTAAAACTGATTATGCTAAAACCCTGTATTCCGATGAATATTCTCCACCGCTCCGCTTTGATACGCTCCCTGCTCTACTATTCCAGTCGTCGATGCTTAACACCACCACTGCTTCGAGAGGGCAGCATTGAAACCTTTGTTATTCCGGTGCGTAGAGTTTGGGTTAAAAAAGACATATTAATCCGTTTTGATGATGTATTATTATTGCTCGAGAGGGCAGCATTGAAACCTTTGCCACCTAAAGATGAAAAAGGTCCTCAACATCGTACTAAGGTGAGTGTCAGTGTTACTTTGTTAATGGTATGATATTTTTACCTTCTCAAATATCAATTTTACATTTTCTTTAAATAATATTAGTGCTAGGTAGTGTTTGGTATGATGGAATCATGGAAGGAGAGGAATGGTTCATTGCATAGAAATGTGATAGAGTCTATTTGTTTTCTCGATGGAATGGAATGGAAAACTCCTAAAGGAATATGATTCCTTCCAATTTGGTTAATATTCTTTCCTTAGTTTTTTTTTCTTTCTTTTTCATTCCATCATGAAATAGAACAAAAGACTCCAAGAAATAGCATTGCAGTTTTTTTAAACTATTGCTATTTTTCGCTTATGGACTTCAAAATTCATAAATTTTTTGAGTATAATGACTTAAAATTAAACATGGCCTAACACATGTTGAAACACTCCACGAATGAATGTTTAGACCATCTTTATCTATTATAATTCCTGCGGATCCAAAATAGAATAATACTAGGGTTGTCACAGTTTCACCAGCTCACATGCACAGTCGTATGTAACGCATCCACCCACGTTGTTCACATACAGAAGGAGAAGGAATGAGACAAAGCAGACAAAGAATGGGGCCAGAAATGACCTGGATCCAGGGAAGGACCACATGAGGGGACCAGAGGCAGAATAGGGATTGGTGCCAGATTATTCCTCATATAAAGTGTAGCTTATGTATTGGTGAGGGTAGCTATGAATTTGTTAGAACGTTCTCTGGGAGAGTTATAGTGTCTCGAATTGCAATATTTTTTCTTGTAATCCTTCACTTTCCATTTCAATCGATCAATCATTCAGAATCGTATTCTCTTTTTCCTTGATATATAATGTCATTGTTGTTCAAGGCATAAAAAATTAGTAGCAGAGCTCATGGCTAGGGAAGGAAAGGATGGTCAGGCAACAAACAAAAAAGTGGAAACCTTGGAAGCGGCAACGAGTCATGTTCACGAGAGATTGGATGAACAGTCCTTGCAGATTCAACACCAAGCAGACTCTATGGCCTCCATAGAATGGAAGATGGATGAAGTCTTCAAAGCAGTCCTCAAGAACAATCCCGATGAGTCGGACAGAAGGAATAAGGTTTCAGAAGAAGGGTCTAGTAGGGGTACCGAGATACCAGTGGAAACCACCCCGAGGATGGGATCTAATCCACAAAAAACGTTTAGCGAGAAGTCAGGTTCCGTAGGAGGGAACGATGGAGGTCCTGGGGATTGGACAGGTGGTGGTAATGGATACAATGGAGGAACGAACAAGCGTTTCCAGAAGCTTGACATGCCACTCTTCCATCGCAAATATCCCGATGGATGGGTCTTACGGGTGGAGCGCTACTTCAAGTTCTACCTATTATCGGAGGAAGACAAGGTAGAAGCGGCGGTGGGTGTGCTAGAAGGTGATGCTTTACTATGGTTTCAGTAGTAGCATCAAAGAAGACCAATTGTCTGGTGGGAAGAGATGAAATCATTGCTCCTCCGAAAGTTCCGCCCTAATAATGCCATAACGTTACAACAGCAGTGGTTGGCGTTATCTCAGGTGGGATCGGTGCTGGAATATCAAAGAAGCTTCATTGAATTGTTAGCGTCGTTGACCAACATACCCGACGACATATCCATGGGTCAATTCATAAACGGGTTGAAATATGAAATTAGGTCAGAAGTGAGACTCCTTGGGCCTTTATCAATGGATCATGCGATGAGTTTGGCAATTAAAGTGGAGGAAAAACTGAGAGCCCAACAAGGAAAGAAGAGCAGCCCAGTAATGGTAAGTAACCCAAGTACTATTACTCGCCCCACACACTCAACCGGGTTCATATCCGGATCACCTCTTATCACTCCTATTAAAACCACTTATTTTTCACCTCGTACAACAAAAGCTTCCTCCAACACCCCAAAAACTATGACTCAGTCTCAAGGAAAATCCACAAATGAAATCTGGCGCCTGTCAGATAAGGATTTACAATACAAACAAGAAAAAGGGCTATGTTTCAGGTGTGACGATAAATAGACTGTTGGGCACCGTTGCAAACGTTGTGAGCTTAGCCTATTGATTACTCAGGAAGAAGAAGAATTTGATTCTGAACCTGAGGAGGACGCGAACCCAATCCCAGTGATCGAGGCGGACTCACCGGATGTGGCAAGCCTCTCCGAAATATGTCTGAACTCTGTGTTGGGAAGAGCGAACCCTAAAACCCTCAAGTTACGAGATCATCTCTTTGAGGCAGAAGTGGTGGTGATGATAGACCCACGGGCCACCCACAACCTTGTATCCCTAAATTTGGTCAAGATTCCGGCGACCCCATCAGAGAAATTCGGGGTTGCTCTGGGCACCGAAGTATTTGTGCAAGGAAGAGGAAAATGTGAAGGTATCTTACTAATTGTATAAGGAGTCAACATCTGGGAAGAATTTTTACCCTTGGAATTAGGCAATGCCGATGTTATATTTGGAATACAATGGTTGGAGCCTGAACAAGGTAACTCTCAAAGACAAGTTCCTCATTCCCATCATAGATGAGTGGTTGGATGAATTATACAGGTTAAATATTTACTCAAGGCTAGACTTGAAGTCCAGGTAACACCAAATACACATGAAAGAAGAAGATATCCCTAAAACAGACTTCCAAACTCATGAAGGTCACTATGAGTTTCTGGTCATGCCCTTTGGGCTTACAAGCGCTTCGGCTACATTTCAGTCAGTGATGAACGAGGTATTCAAGCCATACTTACGGAAATTCGTGTTGGTTTTTTTTATGATATACTAGTTTTTAGCCCCAATGAAGTCAAGCATTTTGAGCACTTGGAAGTAGTATTGCGACTGCTCTCTCAACATCAACTATATGCAAACCCAAAAAAATTGCGAATTTAGTAAGAAACAACTAGCCTAATTAGGCCATGTCATATCGCAGAATGTGATTGCAGTGGATGAGGAGAAGATCCGAGCTATCAAAGTATGGCCCATACCAAAGAGCATACGTGATCTTAGAGGGTATTTGGGTCTAACCGAGTATTACCGGAAGTTCATCGTTGGGTATGCTAGGATGGCGGCTCCTTTAACGGATCAACTCAAAAATGATTGTTTTTTGTGGAACGAGCAGGCCACATATGCTTTTCTATCCCTTAAGGGCGCCTTGATGCAGGCCTCAATCTTATCTATGCCCGATGTTACAAAGAGTTTGGTGATTGAGTCGGATGTTTCAGGGGTAGGAATTGGGGCAGTACTCACTCAGGACTAACATACCATCGCTTTTTATAGCCAAGTTCTGGGAACCCGGAACCGACTCAAACCCATTTATGAAAAGGAGCTCATGGAAATTATATTGGCAGTTAAGAAGTGGCGTCACCACCTAATGGGTCATCATTTCACCATTCGTATTGATCAGAGGAGTCTCAAGTACTTAATGGAACAGAGGGAGGTCAGCCCAGAATATCAAAAATGGATGTACATATTGCATGGTTATGACTTCGACATCCATTACAAACCGGGAGCTTCCAATTAACAAGGTTGTTGACACATTGTCCCGAGAATTCAATTCCACCATAGAGTTGTGTGTGCTCACCTCGTCCTGGAACACGCCTATGGAAGCATTACAGTAGGAGATTAAGGAAGATCCATTTATCTAACAGGGACATCGTTGCGATAGGAAAGGTGCATGTTGGTTTCACGGTGACAGCCGACTGGTTTTGGTATAAAGGACGATTGGTAATTCCTCATAACTCTACACTAATCCCCACACTTCTCATGGAATTTCATGATTCAGTCATAGGGTATCATTCCGGGGAGCTCCGCACATACCAAAAGATTGCATTAGAGTGGTATTGGGTTGGAATGAATATAAGAATTCAAAAGTATGTGCAAGAGTGCAACACTTGTCAAACACAAAAGGCTCTAACCACCCGACCAGCCGGCCTACTGGAACCCTTACCCGTTCCGTCTCGGGTGTGGGATGATATTGCAATGGATTTTGTGGATGGTATGCCTCATTCCCAAGGATATGATACGGTGTTAGTTGTGGTGGACCGCCTGTCCAAGTATACGCATTTCCTAGCCTTGAAACACCCCTTTACTGCATTGGAAGTAGTAGCTTAATTTACCAGAGAAGTGGTCCGCCTCTATGGATTTCCAGCATCCATAGTTTCCGATCGTGACAAGATTTTCATGAGCAAGTTTTGGAATGAACTATTCCGACTCCAAGGAACTCATCTTCTAAGAAGTACCGCCTACCACCCCCAAATGGATGGTCAATCTGAAATTACCAACAAGTCCCTGGAGCTGTATCTTAGGTGTTTCATTAGAGGGAAACCCAAGTTATGGGTGAAATGGTTGCATTGGGCCAAATTTTGGCACAATACAGCTTTTCACACAACAATCAAATGCACCCCGTTCAAGGCCTTGTATGGAAGAGATCCTCCGAGAGTTAATCAGCTTGAACTGGGAAGGACAAGTGTCTCAACGTTAGAGGATCAGATGCTAGAAAGGGATGCTATCTTGGATGAATTGTTAGGCCATTTGCTCTTTGCTCAGCTACGAATGAAGTAGA